ATAACAACATGGTGTTTTCGGCAAAGTTGTAGTACTTGAGGTCTTCTTTAACTAAGCTGAAGACAGTTATCTCTTATCTCTTATCAGTTGCGCGCAAATCGCGCACATAAAAAAGCAAATTTTATATAGAACTTTTTTTTTCATATCATTTTTCGCGCTTTTCGCGGAACTGATAAGAGATAAGAGATAACTGTCTTCAGCGATGTTATAGAAGACCTCGAGTGCTACAACTTAGCCGAAGACAATAAGTTGTTATCTCTTATCAGTTCCGCGGAAACCGTGAAAAACCGCGAGGACCCGCTAAAAACGAACATACTCGCTTTTAACCATTTTTAAGTCGACAGAAACTTGCTCTTCTCTTTCGTAACAAAGTCAATGAAACATACACTACTCTCAATCTCACCCATAGAAATGCTCTAGTTACGTTTCAAATCATAGTCCATGTCAACTCAATGCACTCTGCAATCAACATGGATCTGCCTTTGCAGACGTGAAACTTCTCGTCAATTTATCAACCGGTATAAATGGAGCGACGACTTTTGGCTTTAATTTTGCTTCACATAGCCTTTGTCCCTTTGGAAACGTTTACCAAAGGTTATCCTGAAGTTTATAAAAATTGTAACAGTCTTGCACTCTTTTCCGCCAAACCTCTAACAAAACCCACATTATATTCAGCCAGAGCTTGGCGGTGTAATATAAGAAAAAAAAAAAATAAAAAAAAATAAATATTACAAAGACGCTTCGGACGATATTGATCTATTTGAGGAGTTAAAGGATTCCGAAAATGCTTGATGATATCAGTTGGAAGCGATAAGGGCTTTGAGCCAAAAACTAGACTGGATGTGGTTTTTTGTGTTGATGTGTTCAGAAGAGTTGTTTAAGTTTTCTCTGGTCACGATTTTTCCGAAGATAGTAAGTGAAAAAATTGTATACTTTGGTAGATATGGTCAAAATATGGGAAAAATTGGCAATTTTCTGGGTATTTTGTCCCATAACACCAATCAAATGTAATTTTTATGCTTTGTTAATAAAATTTGATTTTCAAACTCATAGCTACAACTATGTTTAAAATAGTAAGATCACCGATACTGAATGAGTTCGAGAGATCACATATTAATAAGAAAAAATAGAAAGTCAAAACCATGGTGTTGTCAATACTAAATATAGTGATCCGTACAGTTGTTTGTTCCAAATCAAACTTTAGTAGATGACGCTATTTCAGCCCAATCACAAGGGCACATCTCTCCAATGAGTTATTGATAAAAATATGAAGTAGTCAACATTGCAGAACATCTAATATGAAAATACGGCAAAGATTATCAAATGAATATTCCAACCAATATTTAAAAACCCAGTTGGATTTTTATTCAGCTATAGTAGTCAGCAGCGTACCGTGGAAAGAATCCAGATTTTTCAAAAAAAAAATTGTCATGTGGCAATAGTATGATAGCGATAAAAATTACGAATAAAACTTGATCTTTGTTTGATATTGCAGTGAATGATGTTTGTAAGTGTTGGATAAATTTCAATCGATTTATGCATTTGATTCAGAGTCGTTGCGTTAAAAAATTTCAAATGGGAGTCAGAAAATTCCAGATGGGGCGCAAAAAAATCCTGATGGGGTTCAGCCCCAAACGCTTGTATGGACGTTACGGCGCTCATAGATAGTACTAACAACACCTCCAATATGCCAATCAGTGTTGAACGACAATAAAAAGCTTCTATTGAGTTTTACAATTGATTAAAGTTGTACTTTTTATTGTTTTTTCAAGCAATAGAGATCAATAATTAAAATTAAATAAATATAAATTTTAACAAGTGAATGTTCTAGATGCCTTCAATTCATATATAATATAGTGACTAGAGTAAATATAATGACTAGATTTCAAATTAATCGTGACCATAGTTAAAAAAATTTAGACTACTAATTTCTTCTTCAAAGTTGATTTGGTTTAAAGTATAATTATGTGAACTTTTTTTTGGAAGGCGGTTTGGACACAGGCTGTCTACTTGATACTGTGTTGTTTCCGTTTCCTTTATATTTCCTATCCATTTCCGAATTGCTTGAAGTTAATTGAGGAAAGTTTTGCTGTTGTTGTGTTGGTTGATGTTTTTCAAGTTCTAAAGTTGATCCTAATGAAACTATTTGTTGGTACTGCCCATCAACGTATTGTTCTGGTTGATATAACAATTCACTTGGCTGCTCATCTGCTTGATAGCCGGATTGGTCATAGTTTTGTGTATATTGATACTCATATTCATTGGTTGATTGGAGATCACCCGCTCCATACTGATTCTCGTCATAGTTTTGTTGATCGATGTATTGGGAGGTGTCATACTGCCCGGCCTTTATGATGCTATCAGATTGGTCATAGCCTGTTGGATCTGTGTACTCTTGTTGTGCCTGTTGTTGAAGATTTTTTCCATAATCATATTCATCTTTTGTATATTCCGGAGAAGCTTCAATTCCCTTTTTTTCCTCAAATGACTGAACTTCATCATAAAACCGTATGGATCCTTTTCGTCTAACTTCTCTAGGATGGGATTGATCATCTTCTGCATTCGGTGATGTTCGATTTGACTTGATTTTCTCGGTTTCGAAGCTGTCTTGGACGTATTTATCACCTGATTGATCTGACCCAATGAAATTGGCGGCTGAACTTTCGACCGGCAACTGTCCAAAACTTTGCTGAGATAATCGTCGATGGGTATCGTGCAAAGATTCCCGACGACTTTGATGATTATTTCCTCCATATAAATCGTATTTGAAAGAAGATGATGGGCTGACACTATCGCTGGACGTTGTCATGGGCTGTTGCTGTATTTTAAAAAATGTAAAGTTTTTCAAAAGATGTATTTATTATTATTATTTGGAATTTTGAAAATGTTTACCATTGTGTCAATGTCAAAATGTTCAACATCTCTTTGTGAACTTGGTGCTGAAATCAGAATAATCGAAAAGATTTAATGAATTTTTATAAATAAATCGATGAGAAGTTGACTCCTCTTTTTGCAAAAGAAACTAGAACATGAAGTAAATTTAAATGAATAGGGGGAGTATGTGTAAGTTGAACCAACCCGCCGATTTTGTATTTTGACCTACAAATCGTCAATTGGGCTAGTCTCAATCTATTTAGAAACATCAAAAACCAATATAAATGTAGTTCCCAAGAGTGAATACGCTTCTTAAACGGCTCGGATCGGCTCATAAAAATTTTTTGCAAAAAAAAAAAATCATTTTTATAAAAACTAAATTTTTTCGGACCATCATCAAGTAGACAATTTCAAAGATATCAGCAAAGCGAGTATAAGCTTTCTTCACTAGTTTATCGTGTATTTTTATTATCCGTAGTCATTTCACACATATCATTACATGGCGAAATTCTTTCCGTGCATAAACACTCAATATATGAGATTCATTGAATTTTAATGATTTTCCAATCGTTTTCGGATTTGAAAAACACGAAAAAATCGATGAAATATGAAAAAATAGAGAATATGCTATTTTTACTATTTCTATATTTTTCTACATTTTTTCATTGTTTTTCGTAGTTGTAAAGGCCGAAAACGATTGAAAATCCAACAAAATCCAATGAATTTCATATATTGAGTGTTTATACTGCATGTTTTTCTAAAAAAATAGGGTGGGTCAACTTACAAAGAAAAAAAATTGTTGCCAAAAATCAGACCTCTTAGAAAATTGACCGAAAAGTTTTGTTTTTACAATGAATTTCCTGATCAAATTGTAGCTTTTTCGGCTCTGTTTCCAATGGTATATCAACTGTGCATTTATCTTCATTCCATAAAAAGTTATGATTAAAATGATTAGTGCAGGTCAACCTACACATAATTCCCCTATTGGAACATAGATAGTTTGAAAACATAAAGTGAGACAAATATCTACACAACGAAAAAAACCAACCAAAAACTATTGACAAATGCATATTCCGATATAGCATTATTCCTATAAAAAAAAACAAATTATTGACAAACATGTCAATAAATTGTTATTGAGATTTCCACTATTTCACTGACAAATCTATGGGTGAGATTGAGAGTGGAGTATGTTTTTTCTTCGATTTATATTTTTGAAAAAGCGAGGATGTTTTTTGGTGATTCTGCTGGCGTTAAAGTAGAGTATGTTGGCGTACCGTCTAGCCTCCGCGGTTTTCCCGGTTCCCGCGCAACTGATAAGAGATAACAACATGGTCTCTTGTTGTAGTTGTAGTACTTGAGGTCCTTTATAACTTAGCTGAAGACAGTTATATCTTAATCTCTCATCAGTTCCGCGCAAATCGCGCAATTAAAAAAGCAAAATTTATAAAGAACTTTTTTTTGATGAAATGATAACATTTTTCGCGCTTTCCGCAAAACTGATAAGAGACAAGAGATAACTGTCTTCAATTAGTTATAGAAGACCTCGAGTACTACAACTTTGCCGAAGAGACCATGTTGTTATCTCTTATCGGTTTCACGAAAACTGCAAAAAACTTACTCTTCTCTTTCATAACAAAGTCAGTGAAACATACAGTACTCTCAATCTCACCTATAGAAATGTAAATAAACGGGCAAATATTTGACATTCCCAATAATTTGATGTAAGCACTCTAGTGCATTAGTCCTTCCCAGGAATGGGAGTACTGGTACTTGGTTGATTTTTGGCCATAGATAATTAAAAAATATTCATAATCCTGGGCCGGTATTCTACCAAAATCCGCAAAAATCGTTCGAAGGATTGTAACAGTGATATGATCGACACATGAGCACCATCTCTACTGATTGCCATTATTGCAATGTCAATGTATAGAATGTCTACTTCTTCTTCTTCTTTTTCTCAACATCAATTGCATACGACTTATGGTAACTCTCCGTAATCATTAGAGATGGCGATACTTATGTGCATCAATTGACTTTTGCATTGGCTCTTATGTACTGTGCGCGCCTTTCGACTTTTTCCATAAGTAAAACTATATTGGAGTGAAAGAGAGAGATTCCACTCATTTTCATCTTCACATCGGAATTATTCCACCCTTCCTTGAGTTATTGGATATGAGTTTCCAACGGGATGGTTACTTTTGACAGTTCCCATTTAATCCCATACAATGGCGGCGTCGACGCGTCACCTACAGTTGGAAAAATGCATTACACACATGTCATGTCAAATTCAAAAGCTGGTATACATAAGTCCGTTATGTATACTGTCCTAATTTGTTATTCTCAGCTACACAGTAAACACGTTGGTTCTAACTTTTAGAACCGCAATATGAAATTTGGCACTAAAATCAAGAAAAAGTTCAAAATGTACTGAATCACAATTCATGTATTTATTTCAGAACTTTTGAACTTTTTCTAGAGCAAATGGTACTAGAACAAAGTCAAGTGTCAAATCTCAACATTGCTAGAATCATTGTGTTTACTGTATACTCTCCTTTTTTTAATTGAAAAGATGCTTGTATCATTTACATTTCGTTTTTATTTTTATTTTGATATAAATAAAAACAAACAAATGATCATTAGCTCAGAATATTACAAAATCAATTCATTTTGTCTTCGAAATCAGTGTATCGCCAACTTGCGTCATTCGTCACCGCTTGCTGTGCACAAAATTTCACTCTAGCAACCCAATGAACACATGTAATGCTAAATGTTTGAATTTTGTGCGTATTTTAATGTAATGCTAAATGTAGCACTAAAAGTGCAAAAATTGTGTGATATTTATATAAAATTTTGTTTCTGGGCACAATATGTGTAAAAATTGTGCACGATTTGGGAAAAAATTTACTATGCACAATAATTGCACGTGTTTGGCTCATTGGGAATCGATTTTTAAATCTACTATCCTTTGTTGACCACTACAACACACAGAACTATGTGTACCAGTCGTACGGCACGACAACAGTGCTCGTGCCGGTTCACGCAATGCCTATGTAGTGTAGAACACGAAAGAAAGTGAGAGAAGAAATAAACCTAATGTAAACAAACAGCGCGATCTCTTGTTTTAGTGCAAACTGTTTCCCACAAATGTAATATGACACTTCAGTTTGGCAATCGATTCTGAATTGTTCGCACGCTGCATTTGCAACAGTTTTAAAATACCGAAAGAAAATTTGCAAACATTCTTTGGTAGAGTTGTTAAAGAGCATCCAAATGAATTTCAAACCGATGGCTCAGTATTGTTCTGTGAAATGTGTGATATTGAAGTGGCTGCAAAACAAATGTCGCAACTGATACAACACAGGGATCGAAAACGGTTTGACGTTTCCCATACAAACCGATTTCGGAACGGTTTCACTGCTTTGCTCTCTGTTCATCGGAGCGAACCGTATCAAGGGGAACGTTCTGAGAATGGTTTGTATGGGCAACGTTCAAGCGGGTTGTCACTGTGTTAGTGTCGTATACTAATACACGTAAGCATAAACGTTTCTGTGTGCCATACAAACCATTTTTCAGAACGTTCCGAATGGTTTGGTTTGTTTACACACTCAAACCAAATATTCGGTTTGGTTTGGTTTCGATCCCTGATACAACATTTATCAATAGGCAAACATTTGGCCAGTACGAATCGAAAAAGTGGAAATCCTGGTGGCCAACTCAATAATTCGTGTTACAACGCTGAAGGAAGATCTGGCTTTCATAAAGGGAAAGAACATCAGGTATGTTATAGCGAAGAATCGTGTTTTTTGACAGATGTACTAAATTGAATGTTCTCTATGTCGCCATCTGTTGTTGGTGATAAAAATATCTTATCACATGGTTCTGATGAAGATCTTATTTATTGTTTATCCAATTTTATATAAAATCACTTTTTCATTCATAAACCCAATTCATATCAAATTAAACAATTTTCAAATATTTTGTTTGATCCGAAAAAATGAACTCAAATATTTGAAAATTGTTGTGCCGAAACGATACAACCAAATTGATCTTTGCACATTCGTATGTACCAAACGGCATGACAATTTTCAAATGTTATGATTTCGAAAGTGAATGTCATGTTAGTTTGCCCAAATAAAAGTTAAAATATTGAAATATTGACTGTTTTTGAATGTTTGCTATGAATAGGTTATTTTCAGAGCGTAAAGTTTGACAAATACCATTGCCGGCGTTAAAAGGGTGCGTTCAGTGTCGGTATTGAGCAATGTAATGGACTAAACACGTGATTGCGTATCACAATTATGAGCAGTATTCAAAAAAATTCACTTTGTATTGAAAATGTGGGAATTAATGTCAACAAAGAGACAACAAAATTATTTGCCATTTATTATTTTGTATAAGTGTTTTTTTGGATAATATTCGGCTTTTTTAAAAACAAAGTTACAACACCTGAAACTGGTCGTGCCGTGTTTTAAACTTGATGATGTCAATTTTTTTCACTCTTATGTGTGTTTATGAATTGGGTTTATGAATGAAAAAGTAATTTCATATAAAATTGGATAAACAATAAATAAAATCTTCATCAGAACCATGTGATAAGATATTTGTATCACCAACAACAGATGGCGACATAGAAAACATTCAATTTAGTACAACTGTCAAAAAGCACGAAAATACCTGATGTTCTCTCGAATGTCTTGTTACTGCCGAAATCGCGACAATTCTGAACAAAGGAAAAGCAACAGGAAAGGATGATTTCATCGACATGCTGTCACCGGAAGAACTTAGTTGTTTTCTGTATGCACCAATAACTTCATGTGATGTTGAGAGCAGAGGTTGGTTGCACATAAATTTATTCATATAAATTTCAAATATCAAATGAATTTATCCGGTATTTTTCATGCGTTGTGTTGTTCTAACGCATTTGCCAGCTATTTATTGTGTATATAGTCCATAAGAAATGTTTACAGACAATGCAAAAAGATATGCAGATTTTGCCAATACAACAGCCGATGTCTCGTTTATGTACTGCAAATGCGTCAGAACAACACAACGCATGAAAAATATCGGATCAATTTATTTGATATTTTAAATTTATATAAATAAATTTATCTGCAACAAACCTCTGGTTGAGAAAACATTCTCGAAGTTAAAACAAGTTCTGGGAGATCAACGTCGTTTGTTTTCATTCGAAAATTTAAAAACGCATGTCGTAATTTATTGCAATAGCTTTGATTAATCTTTAATCAACGTACTTTCCTTGAAAAACACCAAAAATGTATTATTTATATCGAAATATAATGGTTTTTGATAAAAATATTTTAAATATTTTCGTAAATATTTTAGACTTTTTCATAATAATTTTTGGTTGCCCTGTTTGTAAAAGCTAAAGTTTTTATTTTACTACGACTGGAACTGGAATTTGGAACTTTTTTCCTTTTTTTCATGACATTTGTTACTTATTCTTTTTATTATTTTTCTTTGAACAAATCGATATACATCGATTGAACTTGGGCCGATCCAGCGCTATTTGCAGTTTTATTTCGGTGGCGTTGAGAAATCACTCGCGCGCGCGCGCTGGATGCTATTTGCAGTCAATGCATTGTTATATGCATGCATATAAGGTTCAATATGAAAGGGACAAACATACTTTCTTGATGATAATGTAAGTGTTTGATAATATTTTTGTTGTGTCGGTGGCGTTTGTGTGTGTGTGTCAGTGTCGAGTTAACTATAGAGACGGTTGAGACAGTTGCCTCAGGGCACCACGCATTTGGGGGCACCACAAAGAGAGGAAATGAAAAAAATGTTAGGAAAAGTCCACGAATATGAATTTTTGATGCCCCAAGCAGCTGTACCTAAAAATTGTGATGCTCTGAAAAGTCTTTTATGGTGCCCCAAAAAATGCGGTTTTTCAAAAAAATCTTGTGTATGTGTGTGTGTATTAAAATACATTGAGTTTGAAATATTCCGGGATAATGATTATTTGTTTGTTTTTAATTATATCAAAATATAAACGAATTCTAAATGATCCAACCATTTTTGTTGTTTATAACACGACAACCACTCGCGAAAAACCGTGAAATCAGTCGATAACGATTTGACATCTTCACAGTTTTTCAAATTCAGCATTAACATACTGAAGCAAAGTTTTAGTAATTCATCCGTGCTATGCAGCGCACAGTACTAAAATGTACTAATTTGTACTAAATTGTACTAAATTTTGAACAAATGGTCCTGGTGCATTTCCAGCGGTTCCTAACGATTCTAGGAGGCAGCACATCGCACTAAATGGTACTAAACTGTGCTAAACTATGCTAAAAATGTAAATGTATACAACTGAACCAATTCGGTTGGTACTATGATAAAAAATGGCACGATCTCATCTGAATCAAAATATCCCATAGTATTCTCTGCAAAAGTGAAGGTGTAATACGATGTAGTTATACCTTGTTGTTGAGTAAGTTGTTTGCCGCCTTGTTCATATTTAAACTTATCTTCTTCGTTTGCAAAATTATTATTTTCAATTTTAGTAGTCAAGTAGTCGATGTTTGATTGAAGGATATTCATTTCTTGTCTGTGGTCAATTGTCATCCATAATCGATTGATGGAGAAAAATGTTGAGAAGGATTTAGATTCCAATGCGTAAATATGAAAGTATAGAAAAAATAAAAAATGATAGTAAGAAAATGTTTCATAGTTTTTTTCCAAGCGTGCGACTAGTGGAAATTTTCTAACTAATTTTCATTGAATGTGATGCTTCACATAATTTTAGACGTAGTTGTTGAGTGTTTGAGAGGCACTCCCAAAAATTGAGGAATTTCACATTTTGAGGCAAAGGATTTCTAGGCGATGGACATCCTTTGGATAAGATCAATCTATACGAATCTCTTCGAATCTGTTGAAATAACAGATTAAAAATTGTGTGCGATCTTCATCAATTTTTCAGAATCACCATAACTATTTGTATTACTTTTAAACTTATAGACCTTTTTGAATATTTTCAGAACTTAAATCCGGTGTCTTTTCTCGATGTTGTAATATTTACATTTCGGACAATGTATATACTGTTGGCCGTCAAACACTTTCAAACGCTTGAATGACCGTCCCCACATAATTTAAAAAAATGGTTTTGTCCGTTCGTTAGTTCGCATGTTCGTAAAAGAATTTTTTCATTTTTGTTTTTTTTTTCGTTATTGCAGTAGCGTTTCTAGAATTTAAGGTTTTTTATAATAGTCCTGAACAGTTGAATGTTTTGAACCCTTTCATTGAAATCATCAGATTTTTTTAAAGGAACCTTGTACTAAGATGAGTAATTACCCAGCTATAGCGTATTGGTTAGCGTGCTAGCGTTGCAAGCGTGGGGGACACGGGTTCGAATCGCATAGTGGTCGAAATTCTTTTCTCTTCAAAATGTCATTGGTTTTATCAATGGGATTGTGAATTGAGAGACTACGACCCATGTAGAGGCCTGTAGAGTGCTCCGGGAGGCACTCCAAGCCGTGGAATCCCGTGCATTATATACAGAAGATGAGTCTAGATAATGCACGTAAGATGGGGCGCCTATACGCTAGGTTGTTGTCTCCAATATTCAGTATTGGTTGCAATCGCCGCTCAAGGTTGTTGCCTGATATTGGTGAATACATCGGTATATCAGTATCAGAAACATGTCCCCATCGAAAAACTCAAAAGAAAATGGCTCAATGGAATGGGCACAGGGCACATCACAACGAATGGGCCCTCCACAATCGACGAATGGTGTGCAAAGAATCCACCCAAGCGGGCCTCTCGCAATAGACTAAAAAACAGCCTGAATGACGAGTATAATACTCCCATAAATCCATAAATCCATAAGATGAGTAATTAGTATTTAGTAATTTACACAGTGCAACACATGATTGAGGGACTCACTTTAACCAATCGCT